ACTTCAATTCCTTTTCTCATAATCACAAGCTAAATAAAAGTCTACACTTTAAGAATCACCCCATTAATGTTAGCTTGAAATAAACATTTTCTTTTTTCTTGGTGGTATCATTACATAAATGGTCACTCTCTCTCGACATTTGTTGACAGATTTCACCCAATGGACTAGCAGAAGGACCAGGAACTCTTAGGTGGGCCAAGAGGGCGAAATCTGGTATGACAGAGAGTGAACGACAAAGTCACAGAGGCAAACTGATTTGTAAAAAACCTTAACAGTCTTTTTGACTACGTGTTTTGTGTTTACTTACACATATTCAGAACTAAATAATAAATTTAGAATCAATATTAATACTACAGAAAGAAGGAAAACCTCTGGTGTATTCCACTTGTCACACAATAATTGCTGTATCCACTATGTCAGCCATTAGTCCGTAACTTGCTGATGGGCGAAATAGCTGTGTAGCGATTCTCATAACATATTTCACAATTATATAGAAAACATCTGCATGACGTGGCTGTTGTGGTTAGAGGTATTAGGGATTCACTCTTTCATTAACTGGGTATAAAATTCCAAATGCCATTCTTCCTGTAAAAATGGGTGTAGCCAGCATTTAACAGAGGAACTTGATTTTTCATGGCTCACTATAATGGTGCATTGGGTATTTGTATTTTTGGAAGCTTTAAAACTATGAATTACATTGGAGGCACACTATAATGCGAATCGCTATAGCACGGGTCTCAGTATGATTCGGATCTCTCATGGACCCCAAAATTACAGGCCTAGTTAAAAGTTAATTAATAAATACGAATTGAGTGTGTTTAATTAATCGAGACTTTTGAATATCCACTCAGTTGCGATAATTCAGAAACTGACCAATGAAATTTGGTTATTCTAACTGAATGTCGCTTAGCAATTTGAGGGTTGAATGAGAGGTGAATGAAAGTGTCGTGAACCCACCTTATGTGGTAGTTTAACAGGACATTGCTATAACGCGATTCCCTGATATGGATCCAGACTACCTCATTATAGCGAGTCTCCACTGTTTTGTCCCTAATTTTAAACTACTCACCAGAGGTAAAGCAGCCATTCAGCAACACTCTTTCATCCACCATCCATGGTAAAATGGCTGACTCTCCCTTTGTAATGTATCCATAGCTTAATGTGTAGGTATTATTTTGTGGTATTGCATGATTCGAAATCAACTCCGAAACCCAGAACTCTACCATAGGACTAATTCGCAACAGTGCTTTGGTTAGCAGAAGCAATAAATGGTTGTATAACAGAGTGGAAGCTGCTGGACATGGCATTTATCAACCGGTGAAACAACCTCACACACATTTCAAGGTATTGTTGACTCCAAAGATTTGGTCAAAAAAAATGTAGCAGTTGATTTGGCTTTGGCATGTCCACAGGTTTTTGGTGTATAGATGCTGAATCAGGAAGTATCATACACACAACAACATCACTCTGAGAATGAACATATGGGTCAATAATAAAAAGGGAGAGGTTTTTCTCTGTGTACAGTTTCAGTCCCAGCACGGTCCAAGTAAGGTGTATTTTCTGACTTTAGAATGATAAAACAGATCATTCAGCAGATGCAAGAGTAGAAAAATGCTGTGCACACATAGCATCAGTAATGTGGTTCTTGGGACTAAAATGACACTAAGAACACATGCTTACAGTATAGACAATAAAGTTCTTCAGGATGACATGGGATGTGAAATGTGACCTATGTACGTGTCAGTTATAGACAAGGTTATAAGCGATTTTCTGGTCATTTTTGTAATTATCATTTGAAGGATAAATTGAACACAATATATGTAAATATATTTGAGGAGTGGGCACAATTACAATTTTCTAGACTCTTGAGTTTTCAATATCTAACTGGTAATATACCAATGTATGGCTAATTACTAGCTGTTAGATGAATACAAAATTCAAGTAAATTAGGTCAAGAAATTTCAGAAACTTTTGGAGAATCTGAATCTTTCGTTTTATATATATAAAAACTATACATAATGTTTTGTAAATTAACTTAAAAAATACATACATTGTTTGTAAATTTTCTTGAAAAAACACACCATTTTTTAATGTTGTTCTATTACACTCATCAATAGTACACAACTAATTTTTCCAAAGGTTTTACATTTTGCCTTTGACAGTGAAAACAATTTGTAATCCTGCAAATAATTGGGAAATAGGTTTTAGCCCATATTTCTATTAAAGCAGGATTTTCAGTATGTTTAGAGATTTTTTAATGTAAATCATTACTTCCAATTATACAATTCCAGTGAAGGTTATTTACTGAAAACTACAAGATCACTAGACTGCAATCATAACATATACTGTTAATTACTATATTACCACCTCTTGTTTTCAGGTTTTTTTTTAGAAAGCCAATTAACCTTTCTTAACATATTTATCACTTGAAATATAAAAAATTCAATTCTTTGTTTATTTGAATATTTTCTCTTTGTATTTATACTTATTGCATGTAAATCTAAACAGTTTTTCACTCTATGAATTCCTTTATCTTAATGTATTTTACTTTTAAAATCAGCATGTTTGGTTTTATAAAGTTTTGAAGCATATTCTTAGTTTTCCCAATTTTCCTTTTCTTTCTAGTCTATGTGTTATAATATTTTGTATTCTCAATTGTGTTTTCATTGGTTCTAAGCTCTCCTGTCTTATATTCCTTGATGCTAATATTATTTCCTTAGTTCATTCTGTTATATCTATCTATCACCTCTGCTACTTGATCCTGTTTAATCCACATGATTTAGCTATTTTTTGTTTTTCAAATAATACTGCTTACTCACTTATCCTTTCCCCCCTATTTTAATAATTCCTTACCCTGTCATACTTAACTTAGCCCATTTCAAACATTCATGAATTCCAATAGGCTCTACACTAATCAAATATCAAAGCCAGCCTTCAAACAATATTTGCTATCAGCATTCAAGGGAGTACAGAATTCAATATTTAACCTCTATTGATCAATATAAACTAAACGAAGCATGGAAATAACATGCTTATTCACTTGTGAACCATGCAGTTCAGGTACTGAGAAATACCTGAAAAACTCCTCAATGCTTCTTCATATCTAAAAAGAAAGTTTATTTTAATTGCTTATTTTAATCGCATATTGTTGACTGTCCAGGGATTCTGGAATCAATTGTTAACCTAGTCCTTTTGCAAAGTTATTCTCCACATATCAGCATTATATTTTGGAGTTAACAGTGGTGTTGTGAGAATTATCTTCTTCTTAGTGTTCCACATAGATGTTACTAAACATTATGTGCAATTATAAGCTTAAGAATTTTCTCGATAACTGGATATTCCATTTAAGGAATTTTGAAATGTTTATACAACAAAACAAACATTTTTAAATGAGTAATTTACTAATTGTATCGTAAGTCTTTGAAATATTTCAAATAAACTTTGTGAAGTATGTAACTGTTGTAATTTTGTATATACGTACACAATCTAACTGTGCAGCATAAATTTTTAAAAGCTTACATGTTGATACCACCAGGTATACTCCCCTGCTTAGTTTTCATGAACTCTATTACATGTTGATACCACCAGCTATACTCCCCTGCTTAGTTTTCATGAACTCTATGTTACTTCTTATTTTGTTTGCAAGAACATTTAAAAATATTTCAAACATTATAGCCTTCTTACATTCTGAAGTTGCATTTGTAAACATCAGTATTTGTTTGTTTGTTGCCCTGAAAAAAAAAGCATACATTTTCTAAATGCTTTGCTTCTTGGATATCCCTGTGTGCAAAAAAAATGTTAGTTTTATAAACACTGACTTCTTTGCTGTCACCAAAACAGCTGTTTTCCAAGTTTAACGTACATAGATTGCTTAATCTCGTTATCCATACTGAATAGCCAATTAGTTTTGATTTGACCTTTTATTTTTCATAGCTATTGTACACTTGCATTTCAACATTCGTTACATGTCTACATAGGTCAAATTAATTACAATTTATACAGAGTACTCACAATTTTGAGTGTGTGCTCCTATGGTGGTGATTAAAATTTTGTGTATGAACCCAGTACAGATATTCATACACACCACATAGAAAATTTCACATTCATCGTCCATACCAAGCCCTTTAGTTGATGGCACACATATTCAACTAAGAGTTCACAAAGAGCTCTAGAAGGGGTCCTTGGGAACACAGCAATTTAAAATACACAGTTTAGACTAGTGTTTTCACCAGAACAGTACTGATATCATTTTACCACATGTGGAGAGACCATCTGATTAAAACCGTACAGGAGGACTTTGCTTACATTGATGGATCTGCTGAGCTCAGTGTTGAGAAACATTGGCATAAGGCATTCAGAGATTATAAAAGGATATTTGATTCTTTTTGTTATCACAACTTTCCATGATATCATTCTACCACATGTGGAGAGACCATCTGATTAAAACCATACAGGAGGACTTTGCTTACACTGATGGATCTGCAGAGCTCAGTGTTGAGAAACATTGGCATAAGGCGTTTAGAGATTATAAATAGATATTTGATTCTTTTTGTTATCAAAACTTTCCATGAGAGCATGGCTAGACATGATCCAGACTCTGGAGTGCAATACATTACCAAATTACAAACTTTCTCTCCCCCAGTGGACAACAACTTGGTATTGAAAAACAGCCCCAATTTCTTTTAATAGGCCTTATCTGCAACTAGTTTGCCTAAGGGGAGGAAAACCCACAAGAACAAAAATTTAGCAGATTACTCTGGTCATCAGATTCCTTATTTTGTGGTTCATCTAATTTTATATCCAACATAATTTCTTAGTATCATAAATTTAGCCAAAGAGGTGTTACTAACTCAAACTGGGAATATCAAGTTTAACTAGTCAGTTAATCTTCAGAACTGTATATTAATATAATGTATTGCAGGTAACACAAATAATTTTTAATCTAACAAACTATAAAACTTAGAAACGTTTTTAAAGAATATGGCAACACAGTAGATAGATTAAGGAACAAACAGATTTTTATTTCATGTCTATCTTATTTACACTTGACAATTTTACCGTAAATCTAAAACACTTCACTCACAAATTTCATAATAACACAAAAAGGTGGCAAATGTTAAAATAATTTACATGTAAAAGGCAGACTTTTGAGTCCCTGAAACCTGGAATAAAAGCTCTTTTTTTACATTATTTTATCTTATAGTAAATATAAACTGTACACATCAATATCTAAGACGATTTTCTTCAACAATTAAACAAGTTATACAGTTGATGTTGTATTTATTTCCAAATGGAATTTATTATTAACATTATAAGGATATGATGACGAAGTAAATACACCCTTCAAAAACACTCACAGATTTTATGTGATTATGGGAACTAGATGAAGCCCTAATTTATTCCATTGTTTTAGGGAGGAGGAGCATGGAATACACCATATTTCAAAATCTCCACAGGAGATGTTGACTTTACCAGTGTACCCCACTTTCTAGGTGTTCTCGCATTCTAGAAAACAACTTTATCTGCCCGGAAATTTCTAAAAAATTAAAATCTGTATTTGTATCTCATACAAAACTTAGTTCCTTGCAGTGTGGGTGGAATGATGAGGTTTAACATGCAGTAATCAGGCACCTTCGGCAAAGAAGTGAAGGTTTCTCACAGGCAACTGTCACACAGACCTGTCATGGTTAACCTAGGTTCCATCCCTAGAAGGAAAAAAATAATAATAATTTCAGAATTTTTACAAATAAAGTATTAGCTTGTATAAATTGTGTGATGTGGTGAAAATATAGGAATATAAAATTAGAATGTAAAATACATTGGGATTAGTTTCAGTTTGCTGTTAGACTTTTGTGCTACTCTAATTTCAGGCATTACTGGTCTATTTTCATGTATTTTCAATTGTTTATATTCTAGAGAAGTGAAAATGATATTGAAATTTAAGAGATATTTAATTAACAGTTGACTGAAATATATTTCTTAAAGCTATTACTTTTATAATTTTAACAGCACACTTACAAAGTAAAGAGTGATGTGACAAAAATTTTCAAAACTGAAAAATATTACTTAAGACAATCATACATACACCTTCAATAATAATCTCTCTTTTCTTTGTTTAGGGCATTTTTGAAGTCAAAAATAAATGTAAAAAAAAAAAGACAGAAAATGTGTGAAAGAAAACAACAACTAAAGCTTGAATTTTAATTGTGGCAGTGAAAATACTGATTGATAGATAGTTCAAAATTAAATACTTCAAGTTTTGCTTTAGTAATAAAGTTTACTGTTTTTTTGTGAATGAAGCAATTGGGTGTTTTTAAGTGAATTTTACAACTGCTTCAGTATAATTCTTATATTTAGGAGTTTAAGAAAGAAATTAGAGAAATATAGGTTTTTTGGGTGTGGTACATATACACGAAGAAATGGTGTAAGTAAGGATGCCTGTATTATGAAATTAGGTTTAGCATGAGGTGAAGCAGAGTAAGCTGGTTAATTAGTATTGAGAATCATGAGTTAAGAGTTATAAAAAATGAAGCTAATGCCTAGCCCCCAGTAAAGATGCCGAGAAAAACACTACTCATGAGTTTGACAGTGATAAGTTACTGATGCCAATCTGATAGTACAGTAAAGGCTACTAAAATGTATATGATAGCATCTAAAGTTGGCACTTTGATGTAGGATTCATTACTACAGCCTGGTGTAGTAGTATAAGTGAGAAGGCAACTGAGGCACTCACCATCACAGTAACCAATTACTTGAGAGTTTTGGTTCTTGTTTTAGAAATTTCCAATGAGCTGCAGAAATTAGCCAATGAAGTGTTAGAACTATTTGTGGGTAATTTGGAATACTAATTGGAAATTGAAAAGGATACAGAGAAAGTATAGTATAAAAACTCACGTCTGGAGCTGAAAATCAGAGATCTCCAGGAGTAATTGAGGTTCTCCGAGAGCTGATAACAGTTCACCAGAAGCTATCAAGTCTTGGCCACCATGAATATGAAGATATCTAATCTACAGCAATACACTAGCTCAACTTTGATGAAAATAGAAATGCTATTTCTTATGTTCAATCAATGTAGTTTCAGATATAGTAATCATATAAAGGAAGTTAATGATTATAACAGAGTGAATATTTTATATGTGAACTGTATTGGTCAATAGTGTTTAATTTGAAAGTGAAAGTTGGACTGTTAAGAATTAACGAATTATTAAATGTTTAACTGCTGATATTAAAAGCGTGTACTATGTGTAAGAACTTAAATAAACTTGATATATTTTTTTGAATATGAGTCTCAGGATCCATTTCTTTAGTCTAAACATAAATCACCTCAAGTTAGTGACTTGAGCACCACTTGCCACTGCATTCCTCAATTAAATAAATTTGGTGTAATTGGAAGTAAAGTCAAAGCTCCAACGACTAGCCCTATGGGTACTCCCCATTACAGAACTAGCTTTAGTTTCTATGTACCACTTAAGTTTACTATCACCTACATATTAACTCATAGAACCAAACATCAGAACCATGTAGTTTTGGGTGAACTTGCTCAGAAACTATTCAAAATATCTCTACAGTATTGGCAAAAAGCAGACAGAAATATACGTCTCCTTGTAAAACTTACTTTATTTCTAATACTTTTCATTATATTTAACACAAATCATCATATTACTTAATGTATTTAGATCTATATCCATAAAATAATTTACATACAATTAGAGAGATTATCTATAGATTTGTGCTGAATAAATAAACAATGTGGTAGGTATTATTAGCTTAGACTAACAATGCTGTATTCAGAATTTGAGTTAAAATATGCTCTAAAATAAATGGGAATTTATTTTCTTAAAAAATTTTTTTTTTTATGTTATAATAAAGTTTCCTGCTTTAAAACTTTCCAACTCAATATATATATTGTGGAAAACAATTTGAACTATGGTTTAAATTTACTTGGCCAGTCTGTCCATGGCATCTTGAACTCTAGTAGAGCTAACAGTTGGCAACAGTCGATGGAAAATCTCCTGGACAAAAAGCTCACTAAATCCAGGGCATGATCTTTCTGCTACGTCAAAGGCATTGTGGAGTTTTTCAACACTGTCAGCTCCTCTAACCCCATCAGGGGATTTTATATTAGTCTTATGTTTCCTCTGAAGCTGTAGGAAAGATGGAAAACAGAGTATGCTCTTAATAGTCATAAATAGTCTTAATAGTCATTAGGCATAAATAGTCACATTACGTCTCAACTAAAACTCCAAACCAAATATATTAGAAAACAAGTCATTTTTACAAATAGAAATTAAACATTGAAAAATAACTAAAAAAAACAACAGTATGGTAAATAGTTTTTCTTTTGTGTGTGTGTGTGTGTGTGTGATTTTCTTTGTAATCTTAAGTTAATTTTCTTTATTCAGATTTAATCTCAAAATTCATACAAGCTCTGATGTATACCAATTATGCATTTGTGGACAGTCATCACATAACAGTCATCAATAGCTTGTTCCAAAAAAATATCTACATATTTAGTAAAATATTTTGTTTAAAAAAAAAATCACAATTAGTAGGAAAAATACAACAAATTTACCTTTTTTTTTATACACCACCTATTATCAAATTAGTCTCAGCCTTTACTGTTAGGACTCACCTAGCAGCATAAAAGTGAGGCCAAACTGACAGTTGCTTTAAATGTTGTTTCAATAGCTTCTTTTGATTTGATAAGGAAAGCATAGTTCCATTGCAACTGGAAAAAGCTTTTCCAGTAAAATCACAGTGAAAGAGTTTGTAAGTTTCCCTATGAATTAATGAAAAAAAAATCAAAAATGCTTTGTTTCCTTAGAAGTATCATTCTCTAGCATTTGTATTTCATACTTTAAACAGTTGGAAGTAACAAATTATAAAGTTTGATTTTTTTTTGACAAGAACATGAATTCTGCTTTCAATGACAAAATTTGTTAGCAATATTTCTTGGACAGAAATCTGAAGTACATGTCTATTTATTAAAAACTGAGATAAACTTCTATTTCCCCCTGGCTTAGAGTTGCATGTATGATTTTCTTAGAGAATAAATGGAGCAAATAAAGTTAGATGTTAGGCACAATGTTTGCAATTTTATTGGTTATATTTCAAAATGTTTAAATAGATTTATACATATACAGAGATAGAGAGAGATTCATGACCAATCACAGGTGAAAGTAATGGTAAAAAGCAGCTATTTAAGCTGCAGTGTGCATGCGTGTAAGGTGTTTAACCACAACTTAATTTCAATATATTTTAAAGCCAGCAAGGAGTTAATCACTGATGAATCTTTAATTCTTTTTCAAATTTCATGTAAAAATTTTGATAACTCAGGAAAGTAACTACCAAAACACCTTCTCATCTTGTTTGGTTTCAAATTCAATAGGTTATTTCAAAAGAAGAGATAAAACCATTCAAATCTATCCATAGCATCTCATTGTACTTTGTGGATTCAACTTACTTATATAGAACTATTTTTAAGGCCAAAGTATTTGTATTCCACTTTATATTTGTTAGTAATTCAAGTGTACTTGTTAACAGTCACATAATCACTTACTTTATGAGGAGTCAGACAGCTGTTTAGTTCACAAAATAATTATTGTTGTAAATCAATTCACAAGACAATTAAAACTTATATTGTGTAAAGTGCATTAAATCATCAGTTTGATATCCAATTCGAAAATCAACATTTCCAGTTGTAATCTCGATAAAATCTCACAATAATAGAAAAATATACATAAGATTACCTGTGTGTCAAAAATTACAGTAAAGGATATCTGATTAATAAATAAAACCATGCTTACAAAGAAAATAGCAAAGAACATTTTTTAATAATGTAGTATTTAGTTCTTTCCTTTTAAAAGTAAGATTTTTTCATCTTTGCATACAAGAGAAGACTAAACAACAGACATGCAATCCTTAGAAGTAGAATCCTCTGAAAATTATGTTTGGGTTAGGGTGCTCTTCCCTAGACTCCCAGTAGGGCACAGGTTCAATGTCCTGTTGGAAGGAACTCAAAATATCTTGCCCACCTAGCCAAAGTTGATGTTAAGCATCTTTTTGACACACTAAAATGTATTACCTGACACTTTACCAACAGTTTTGAACATATCTGATATAATTCCTAAAGGTAATCTGTGGCATAAAAAAAAAAAAAAAGATTCTTTGATGAAAACCACCTTCAAGCTATGCAATGACATGATGTTCATGATTTATCTACAATGATTTAGGTTATGGTCACATGAACTAACTGAATGTTTGATTCAAAATTCATCGAATTTATATGACAAATGGAAGTTTAAAATCATTTATGTTAGTAGATTTCATTCTTCCTTATTTCCTCTAGAAAAGTTCTGGTAAACTGTAATTTGGCTTAAGAACCACCAGTCCTTATATATGGTGTTGGTCATGTCATCTTGGCTGATTCATAAACTGAATGCTGCTGTAAATCTTGATGTAATTTACATGATTTTTTTTGCCTAGTTATAGTGTATCTTATGTCAGCAGACAATTACACAGTTTTTAAAATTAGCAAAACTTGATGTTTAAATTTTTTGGGAATACTTTTTATGGGCCATGGAAAATAGTTTTTCTTAATCCATGATGATATGTTCTTCAGATCTTTTTAAGATATGCAGACTTACATAAGAAAAAACAAAACAAAACTGAAATCTGCAAAAACCAAAAATTATTTTTTGCCTTGCCTTACCTCCAGAGTGAGAGAATGTAAAACAGTTGAAACAGCAAGGGTTCTTTTCGTTGCATTTATTTTTGTTGGAGAAATAGGTGATACTGGAGACTTTTGAAGATGTAAGTCTTTCTCTCGATCTCTGTTGTCTCCAAGTTCTTTGGCCTCATAATCTCGTGAAGAAAGGTCACCAATACGTTCTCGATGTTTGTGGTCAATTCCATCTTTCACTTCTCTATGTTTTTGTTCAGATCCACTCTTCATTTCCCGATGTTTATGATCAAAACCATCTTTCATGTCTCTATGTTTCTGATCAAATCCATCTTTTCCTTCTCGATGTTTGTGATCAACACTGTCTTTTGACTCTCTGTGCCTTTGTTCAAAACCATCTTTACTATTTCGTTCTGGTTTTTGTACATATGTTTTTTTAAGTTCATGATCTTTTCCTTTATGATGAGCAGGTGGTGCAGGTGGATCATTCAGTGTTCGTGGCTGTAATTTACAAACGTATTATTAGCTAATTATATGGACCCTATTACCAACTACAATCACTTAAGTACTTCAAAGACCACAGATAAGATGTACTATAATAATAACACTTGATGTAATAAATAAATACAAACCTAGAAAAAAGAGGTTGAACCACATAAATGTTAGTTTCACTTGAATGGCTAAATTTGAGTTTCATCTATAAGTAAGTGATGTTATAAATACATGTAACTTCCACTTTGTTATCTAAACCATTATCTGAGAAAAGTGGCAAACTACTGGTCTGGTCTATACCCTTAGGGCCACCCCAGGGAGTGACATATGGGAGGGAGTCGGTGTTTGGATTTAACCTTCTTCCAGAGCCCTATGTCCTCCCATGAGTTGGGCATGAGTACATCAGCTAGTAATATATAAAAGATAATAACCTCTTCAATTAGAAATATCAATATACAGCATTTAACTTAGAAAACTTAAAGCCTTTTAACATACCAGTAAATTGATTAAACGTATAAATCAACTATCAGTTTCACAGTACTTTACAACATTTCTTTAAGCAATACTATTTTTAGTATTTTAAACAATAGGATCACTTACTGGAGATGTTGAAGATTTTTCCTCCGATTGCCGTAAGTAGATAGAGATGTCTTTTTGATAGTTTGGTGAAACTGGAGAGGATTCTCCATTTTGTTGGCTTTTTACCAGCAACCCTTTCACCTCTTCTTCCATAGTATAAGGGCTTGACTGAAGTTCTATCTGGTTATTTGGGCCCTTGACTGTCCCTAGGTCCCACCTCCAACTCTTCCATGTATCATTACCTTTGGATTCATCTCTATGAAAGAAATAGTTACGTACTATATTTTCATTCAACAACTACTGAAGTATAAATGAAATCCATTATTGGAATTATTCATTTTTCTTAAACTTGAATGTCTGTTTTTCTAATTACTTTCTGTGCTCAGTGTCAAAACCGCAAAGTAAATTATTAGAAACCATTACTTTGATCAGCAAAAGATTATCAAAGTGAAAATTGACGATGTGTAAAATAGAATAAAAATAAGTTATTATGTTTAATAACTGTTATGAAGCACACTAAAATTTAATCTTTATATCTAAATGCATCAGATGCTATATTCAGAAATAGTAAACTTATAAGTACATTAAGGTTTATAATCATGAGTACAGGCCTACTGAAGTCACAGACACAAAACAAATTCAGCTTTACCAACAGTCAGTAATGTCAAAAAAGACGCAAAATTGAAAGGGGGCATCTAAGGAGAATTCCCATAGTGCCTCAAATGAATGATATTTCATCAGCTTTGTGTACTAGCTTTCTAGGTTTCCAAAAGTAAAGAAAACAAGTGCATTCTGAAGTGTTTATGAAGGTGTAAGTGTAAAAAAATGTTATAAGAATTTGAAATTATTACCAGTTTACTGGTAAAGAATAAAATAATTATTGATTATTTTTTAACATTTATGACACTCTTCTGAATGAGAAGATTACTATAAAGGGCAAGAGAGTCTAAGCTGAAAAGGATATTTCTTGATTTGTATAACATTAAGGATATTAATGTGTTTGAGACTAAAAGTTATTTGAAAATTTTAGACGGGAATTGTCACAACTAAGCAAAAATTCTTCTGAGAAGTTATTAAGAATTTCTAGTAGAAAATGCAATATGACAATATTTAATAATATAATACACATCTACTTAGCACACATACCAGTTTAATAATGTAATACACATCTATACAGATCACATACCAGTTTAATCATGTAACACACATCTACACAGATCACATACCAGTTTAATAATGTAACACACATCTACACATATCACATACCAGTTTAATAATGTAACACAGATCTACACAGATCACATACCAGTTTAATAATGTAACACACACATATACACAGATCACATACCAGTTTAATAATGTAACACACATCTACACATATCACATACCAGTTTAATAATGTAATACACATCTACTCAGCACACATACCAGCTTAATAATGTAATACACATCTACTCAGCACACACACCAGTTTAATAATGTAATACACATCTACTCAGATCACATACCAGTTTAATAATGTAATACACATCTACTTACCACACATACCAGTTTAATAATGTAACACACATCTACACAGATCACATACCAGTTTAATAATGTAACACACATCTACTCAGATCACATACCAGTTTAATAATGTAACACACATCTACACAGATCACATACCAGTTTAATAATGTAACACACATATACACAGATCACATACCAGTTTAATAATGTAACACACATATACACAGATCACATACCAGTTTAATAATGTAATACACATCTACTCAGCACACATACCAGCTTAATAATGTAATACACATCTACTCAGCACACATACCAGTTTAATAATGTAATACACATCTACTCAGATCACATACCAGTTTAATAATGTAATACACATCTACTTAGCACACATACCAGTTTAATAATGTAATACACATCTACTCAGCACACATACCAGTTTAATAATGTAATACACATCTACTCAGCACACATACCAGTTTAATAATGTAACACACATCTACTCAGCACACATACCAGTTTAATGATGTAACACACATCTACACAGATCACATACCAGTTTAATAATGTAACACACATCTACACAGATCACATACCAGTTTAATAATGTAACACACATCTACACAGATCACATACCAGTTTAATAATGTAACACACACATATACACAGATCACATACCAGTTTAATAATGTAACACACACATATACACAGATCACATACCAGTTTAATAATGTAACACACATCTACTCAGGCTCTTGTCATGCACAGATCAGAATAATATACAGATGTATTTTGGACTTTTGTTTATAGTACTGCTGGTTATTTTGAAATCTTTGACATACCCTGGACATCGAGTTTAGGCCTAAATATCAGTTACTAAGTATTCTAAACAATATTTTTGAACACTACCAAGAAACTGTAAGGTTCTTTCAATTTTTCTCTTTCACAGTTTTACATGGTTTAATCAGGCGAGTGTGAATACTTTATTTCATGAAATATAATTCATACATTACAGCTGGTTATTAGTAATACAAGATATGATTCAGAAGGTGTGTCTATAAATAGAAGTTATTTTCCACCCCTTTTAAAACTTAAGTGGGTTTTATGAACATCAACAGAAAACTTTTTCACATCATGCAGTTTTACTTGGAGGAAGAAAAGGCATACGAAAAAAAGTTTTAAAAAAGAAAATGGTTTTAATCCATTATTAATTTCAGTAGACCTGGAAGTATTCTTTGATATCTGAAGCAACTCTGTTTGTTTGAAACTGTAGTTATAGCTTATTATCGTGTGTAGCTTTAGATAAAAAAAAAACCCAAAGGTGTCTCAGTTACATTATTTTCTAAAACAAGGAAACTTTGGAGAAAAAACTTTTTAACAAGGGAAATACTGGACCAGTTTTAACAAAAAGCATGAATAAGGCATATTCAGTATTATACATTTAATTTTTTTTGTAAATAAGTTAAACAACTAATATTTTATTTTTATCTAATCAATAATTTACAATGTAAATTACAAAAAACAAAACAAAAAAATGAAAACAACAGAGCAGGAGAAACCTCCTAAAAAACAATGTCTGAGCTGTGTCCCCGTATCCAATACGCTGCTGTTTATCATTTTACTGCAATAATTAAGTTCCAAATACAGAAAAACTTAGTTTTCCAGAGTTATAAAAGGTCCAGAAATCCAAATATAACTGTGACCTTGAAAAAAACAAACAAACAGAATATTTCATTGATTTTAGTTCCAAACCTATGTAGAGAATTTGGTGTGTAAATCAGAAGAGTGAGCCGTATGTGTTCTAGATTTAACTCAAATACTTACGAGTCTGAGGCTTCAGAGTCACTATCACTCTGTCCACCACCAGAAGCCTTCCATCTCTTGTATCTTTCAATTAGGTCCATTAGATAAGAATTCTTCTTGGCTTTTCTTATGAAAGGAAACTTAAGAAGCTCTTTTGCTGTAGGCCTCTGGATTGTTTAAAGAATTTCAGCAATTACAGACAATAACCAATGCAATTAAAAACACTTATATTCATATTGTGGGTGTAAAAATAGGTGGTAGATAAGAAATAAAGACAATGCATGAAGCAATATTTCACTCTCAAATATAAATTATTTTCAGGAAGGTAAGCTATAACATTCACATTCCCAGAAAAATAATTACAGCATCACCTAGAGTTGAACTGCCACAATCCTAAAAAATCATTATCAGAAAAAAGCTTTGGAATATAATTTATGGTGGAAATTATCCTAGATAACTTGTTGGATTAAAATGTAACACTGTAGTAAACATTAAAAGTTTATTTAAAATACATTTTTTTTTACTCACATCTTATAATGGATCAAGTTCTACCTTATTACATTTTAATAATGGCTTCCTGTAAGCCAGAAATTAAGCCTTTCTACCTGGTTCAAAGGTCATATTCACATAGTTATTGTACTGAATTTGTGTAGTATAAAGATAAGATTTTCTTGTGTTGTGACAATGAACTGGCAATGAAAACATCATAAATTATGTCAATAAATTATGACAAGCAAATTAAATTACATATTTAATCTAATGTATTTCTAATTTATTAAAAGAATGTTTATTTTTTTTTCAATCGGTGCTTAAACTTTACAGAAATAAAATAAGTGCTTTTTAGCCATGTGCCTTGTGTAGCTGTGTTTCCTAGATATGAAGCAGATTACAACAAGCCCAAATTATGTTGTTCTTTTTTTTTTTTTTATTGAGTATTTAAAATGTTCTGAATACACATATATATGTACAGTATTAGTTTATTCTTGAGCAATAAACAAATGCATTTGTAGTATTAAAAAGGTCACTATGCTTCGCTGCAATACAACCCATTTCATATTACTTCCAAAAACATGAATAACTAGGACATACACAAATGGACATGGCAGGGGTGGCTGTTATAGAAGCAGAATTTGAAGAAGACAGTGACCTATTAAGCCCAAGAGCACTGAGTGGAAAGGAGACGTACAAGGACGTCAACACAAGTGAAGAACTGACTGGTAAGAAGAAAAAAAAAGGAATATGATCTACTGTGCCAGTATGTAGATAGATCAGGAAAAATGGATCTCACGCAACACAAGGTCAAGATGAAAACAAGGGATTCTGTCAAGAAGAAGCACTATTGAAGACCCTACCCTAGGAGAGACAGACAAAAGGAACTGTATTGTAAATATTTCTCTTGAAGAGGGTTTTATGTCATGATATAAAAGACTGTTTAGTGTAGGTATTATTAATTAATTATTCTGCCAGTTAATATTTCATCAATAAGAGAGTTAAAAGCAGATGATTATTGGAAGCTGTGTTTATAATTCATTGATGTTTATATAATTGAACGTTGTGTGCAATACACTGACATCAAGAATATAGAGATTTCTAAAAGGCAGGCAGACAATAGCAGAAGAGAGTATAGTCATGGCCAAGGAAAAGTTTGGCACAAAGTTAACTGCTATAGAAGTGATGGGCCTAACATTTACTATGTTAGAGTATGACTAACAGTAGAAAAGGAGATAAGAGGAGGAACTTATTCCATCAAAGTGTGGTTGGTTCTAAAGGAATTGAATCATTCTGGGTGCACTTTGACAAAAGGAACAGAGGGTATTTAGAAGAAAGAAGACCAAACAATTACTGGAAGAGCAGTATATGACTGTGGTAACTTGAACCACAATTGTAAGTGAATTATACACAGGGAGTATACTAGTATAATAGGGAGAGGTAGTACGACTTGTCAACTGAAATTCTAAAGTAATCGAATAGGCCTAAGTGGGCTTTTGACAAGAAGAAGAGAACTATATGTTTATGATATGCCTATAATCTCTATAATATGAAGACTTTGTTGTACATACGGTTAACTTATTCTGAATATATATATATAATTTTGAAAACAAGTGAAGTGCATGCTGTTCATTTATCATTGAATTTATTGCCAACAAGTCACAGACACCTGCTGCAGAAGAATCCCAAGCCAAACAAAAACACATTATATATTTATACTGTTAAAAAGTATAAGTAAAAGCCTTTAATTGATAATTGGCAACCACAACTTAACATTTAAAAGTGGCAAAGGTAACAAGTTACATTTTTTTTTATTTTAGTGATTACACACAAGGTCTGGGTGAGTTCATATTCATTTAAATACATATATGTCAAATCTTGGATTACATACAAGTCATTTGTAGTGAAATAATGACAATAAACAGATTAAGATCTTAGCTAAATGAAATTACAGTTTAGATGCTAATTATGTGAAAATAATTTGTCAGCATTTTCAAGGTTATACTTGTAAGAAAAAGACTGATACAGCTGAAATTAGCTCGTTCCAGAATCATGTAAAATAACTTTCTTTTGAATCATTATAGTAATAAAATAAACTCATTTTCCATATTTTTGTTCTAATTCGTAAAGAAAAGTATCACTTTTAAAGAAAGACATTTAACTAAATCTTAGAACAGTGTGTTTATGAAATGCAGTTTGGAGGACTTCCATTTTCTATCTTCAGATTAGTTTGTTGTGGTCAGAGTTATATTTTGAGGAGAGGAGATGAGGCAGACTTGGTCAAGAGCTGCATTACTAGGTAGTGCGTGAGGCCAATGATTGAGTAGCCATTAGTGGCAGCTCATGTGAAGGCAGCACTAAGGAAAGGTTGATTGATTTGTTTCAACTTAAGGATGGGTACAATACTCTGCTGATGACAAGGCCCAAATCTCTGTCAATGCTAGGATTCTTAACACTAAAACAAAGGTCCTTTTTTCAATGGTAAAGTTTAAGGATAAGGGACCCACTTTTTTTTTTTGTAACTAATAACTAATTAGAGATTCCAGTTACAAAAAGGAACTGGTTGATTAATGAAAAAGGTCTTACAAGAGGTCTGTAACAACCACAGAATGGTTGAGGAAGATATGGCAGGTCAATGACAAACATATATAAACATATTGAATCAATCCTGACACAGAGCATCAACAGCCAGAGCTGCAGAGTCTGAGACTGGTATCCATCAAAACTGGAAGTTTGGTGTTAGGGGAAGTCACAAAGACATCAGAGAGAATGTTCCCAAAGTGGGAACAAATCTACTGAAACACTAGTGGGTGGAGAAAACATTCTGTGAGATAGAACCAGTTTAGATGAGGCAGCTAATCTGCCATCATCTTCATAGCTCCTGGGATATGACAGTCCAACAACTGAGCATGGTGTATACAAGCCAAAAAGGAGAAGGTGTAGAGTCAAAAAGAAGAATTCCAGAAAGTGAGTGCTCCATGTTAATTGATGTAATAAGTGATAGAAGACAATGACAAGCTTGTCGAGCAGCTAACATCTCAAGATCATTGATATGGAGAGAGTGCTCTACAGACCAGACCTTAGAAAAAAATGCAGGTGTTCAGAATTGCACCCCACCTGAACAAAGAAGCATAGGTGAACAGATGTATATTCAAATAAGGCGGGGAATAGAGAGGCCTAGATTTGTGTACAATCAATTTATCAACCACAACAGCAAGAGGTGAAGAGATAGAGGGAGAAAAATAAAAGAAGATAGTGTATCTCTGGACATACTTCAGTGATTGGCCAGAGTCCACTGAAGAGGACACATATGGGTGTGTTCAAGGAAAGCAAGAGACTTGAGAGAAACTAGAGCCCCTATAAGAGACAAAACCTCGTATACAAGAAGAGAAGGAGACATGAGAGTTTTGGTAACCAGGAGCTCCATGCCTTGAAGCTGGAAAAACAGAAGGCTGAGCCTGCCCAAAAATTCACTTTCAAGTGAATCAGATACTGGGTGGAGATAAAGATGGACTTGGAGAGCTTGACCAACCAACACAAATGTGATGACTCCTGAAAAAGAAGGAAGGTTGCAGCTGATGATGCCTGTGTAGACGGGATGAAAAGGAGCCATTTTTCCATGGAGTAGGGAAACTTTAGGCCCTATGAATGCATCCTCCATGTGAATACCCTCAGGACATGATTAAAAACATGTGGGGCCATAATCAACAAAAAGTGAAGGACCCAGAATTGAAAAATCCAATTGTCACTGTGATGGATGAACTTGAGGAAGCAATAGGCAGTCAGACAAATCAGAATGTGAAGAAATGCATTCAAAACATCAACCTTGGTTATCCAGAGCTGGGAAGAGAACATCCATCTCAGATTGAGAAAATCATTCATCTCAAACTAAGGGGGAAGAAATTGATTCAAGGATGATAGATCTATGATAGGTTGCCAATCTCCCATCTTCTTGGGAATGACAAAACAATTGGAGTAAAATTCCAGGTGTATAAAATGTCTTGACCAAGCAAATATTAGAAACAAACAAGCCAAGCAAGGAACTGGGATGCTGCAGAAGAAATTAAGGCCAATGTGGATAACAGACAGGTGTATATTCTCCAATAAAACTGTTCAGAATACAATGTACAGCACCTGAAATTAGGGCAAGCATGTGCAGATAGTGAAGAAGTTGAGCAACAGCAAGATGAACAGATTTAAGGATTGAAAGTGAGAGACAAAGAAATAGACCCCAAATATTATCATCGTCTAAGAGGATAAGGCAGTTGGGTTTTGGCACCAATTTGAGATAAAAGGTATTGTCATAAATATGATTACTGGGGGAGGGGTAGTCAGGAAAAGACAGAAACTTATGCAATAAGGTATCCCAAGTTTCAGCAAAAAAACTGTAGAAAGAGAAAGAATGCCACAAACCATGTAATTAAAGCAGCTATGGACAAAGGCAGAGTTACCTGTTCCTCATTACGAAGGAAAGAGCCAGAAGCAAAATTGGGAGGAGGGAACAGCCAGGCCTGTGGACAAGGGAGGGGCAGAGGGGGCAACTGCCCAGGGGCCTGGGCCTGGTTATGCCATGAAGCACGTTTTTACGCTTATAATTTGGCTGCTGCTATTATTTTGCCTTGTTCAGGAGCCTGATGTTGTCTTAACTTAGGATCTTCATTTTAAAAAGTTCTTTAAAAATGTTAAAAAAAAAAAAAAAAGAGAGAGAGAGAAAGGAAGCCTGGCAAGGATGTTTGCTCCAGGACTCATGCTGGCTCTCAGTGCTCCTGGGAATAGCTGGTCAAAATTGTTAAAAGATAAGGCATGCTCAGCTGAAGTAACAGAAGCAGGAAGTTAAGAATCCTGAATCTGATATTAGAATTAAACCAACCACTTTGTACACAATGGTGGTAACCTTACTGACCATCAGGTTATCTCCAGCCATCATTAAAACAGCAAAAGACTACTCCTCATGTGAAGTGTCAGAACCTTAGTTTGCAGAAACAGGAATAAGTATATTTACAATTAAGCCAATCCACAAAACTACTTACCATTTGTTGTTGTTGTTATTGATGAGGTAGGGCTGGTATGTCTGTTGTATATATATATATGCCTCAATAATTGTTATAATGACAAAAATTGAGATTAATTATCAAAACCTGAATAGTGTTTGTAATGATGGGGTATACTCCTGTCAAAGAAACCATATATATACTAATATGTGTAGAGGTGGGAATTACATTCAAAGGCTTGCTTGGTGCAAGACAATATCTCTCAGTTCTGTTGAGAGGTAAGCAGAGTTAAGGAATCCTGGTTTTGGTACATGCTGTTTGCTCCTTACATTAATATCTCTTTTTATGAATTCATGTAAATTAAAGACTCATAACATTTGAAAGTTATATTTCAAAGGTAAAAATAATATATTTTTTTATTAAATCTTATTTATTGATATCCTAAAATATCATTAAAGCATGATCTTATTTACTTCAAGAGAAGTCCTTTTATTTTTATCTGAAAATTTTCATACTTCTAACTTCGAGACAAAAATGAAGAAAATAAAGTTGTAAGACAAACTTTCTGTTTAAGAAATGTGTCAAAATACTTAAAAATTCAACTTTTTCCTAAAATTATTGTGTGTGTGTATACACAAGAAAACTCCAGTGTCATTACCTAATAAGCATAATTTCTTAAAAGTATCTGAAACATGTTTTTTGACAGAATAGTAGAACTTACATTTTCTGGGTCCTTATTTAAACAAGCCTCCACAAATTCTTTAAATTGCTTGCTATAATTTCCAGTTAGTTGAGGTGGATTGTTTTTCGGAATAAGGAACAGGACTCTCATGGGGTGAAGATCTGAATTAGGTGGTTCACCTTTAGCTAGCTCAATGGCAGTTATCCCTAAGCTCCAGATATCTGCCTATTTGTAGAGAGAAAAATATGTTGCATTATAATTGCCAATCTTGTTTCCAGTTAACTTTGAATGAAGTAGCTTGTATTTACGGAAATGCAAATGATGTTGATGTTGCGTTAAACAATGATGTTAAATTCTACACAAATACTAAAATTTATCATTAGGTGAGGAAATGTTTATTTTCCTATCTGATTATTAGTTTTGAAAAAGATGATGATGAAGAATGTTTTAACCATTGTTACATCTCTTTCACAATGAAAAAAATGAAACTATCTTACAGGAAAAACACAGGCTCATCCAACAGTGACTCTAGGGCAGTAGCTAAAACTGATGTATAGAAATACAATTTTGAATGACATCAAACGTAACTGATATTCATATAAATATTCATTCAAACATTTTTTATACAGTACGTGTCCAATAACCTATAAGTCACTAATTTGTTTCATTATGTTTCATCTTGTTGCATCTGCTATCATTAATCAACAAGTTTGATACTTATTTTCATAGAAGTAAAATGTTCCTAAAGGTTGAGTTATAGAAAGTATTTTTATCCAATCAATACATCCGTGACAAACCTTAGAGTCATATGCTGCTTGTTTTATAACTTCTGGTGCCATCCAGAATGGAGTTCCTACAAAAGTGTTTCGTTTACTTGTTGTATTGGTCAACTGTCCAGCCACACCAAAATCTGCTAACTTTACATCCCCCATTTCAGATAGCAATACATTGGCAGCTAAAAAACAAATTTAAGCAAATCTAGAAACTGTTACAAGTGCATAAGTTATATATATATATATATATATATCTTCAAAGTGTAGGTATGATTCAAAATCTTTTACAACTAGTAACTTAAGACTCAAAATCCTATTTTATTTACAAAGGAAATGGGATGACACTGCACAAGACAAACAGGTGGTACTAAGTATAGTAAATTAAAATGAAGAGTTATCACATCAATAAATATTGACATGAATCCAGAAAGATTCTTTATATATAACTGTTTAAAAAATTAAAAACCAAAACCTTAAAATCAATATACCTATATATTGTACCAAACGTGGATTAAGATACACATATAACACACTGAACAAAGAAATCTACAGATCAGCCTTCTACTGTACAAACAATCTAGGTAAAATGTGGAACAAAAAAGACAAAATCAAAAAGTACAGCAACAGTGGTGTTTACCAATTAATGTGTCAAGACTGCAATAGTGTATAAATAGGTCAAACACAATGTTCCATAGAAACGAGAATTAAAAGAACATTCTAGAAGCTGGATATTACTAAAATGGATTCAATCTTTGCATCCCACCTTATTAAACTAAACACCAATTTGATCTGGAAAAAAATAGTTAGTTTGGTTCTTAAGTTAAACAATATATAACTTGTTCACAAACTATTTCAGTCTATACCTAATGATGCCTTTACCAGCAAAACCATTGTTAAGAATAAATGAAGTTTTTGTGAAACATACAATTGTCTTTGGTTTGTTTTTCCTGAAATCTGTAATGTATATAGTAGAATAATTATTACATAAATTTTATATTTTTCTGCTGCCATTGTTTTGGCTACTATTTTCACAGACCACAAACAATACTACATTTATAAAGATTTACAAAACAATTCTTGTTGCTATTTCTAAACTATTAATGTTTTCATTCCTGAATGTCTTTTTCATTTTACACCAAAACTATTTTGCTTATACATAATATTATCCAACTAGTATATATTAAAAAGTGAAAACACACACACACAAAGGTAGAATCTTTATTATAGGTTACAGCCCATTATTATTAGTAACACAGTTACCATCATCACTACCCCTGATGATGGTAACTGTGTTACTGAAACTAGTTGGCTGTAACCAATAATAAAGATCTTACCTTTCATTGTGTCAAAAAATGTAATTTTTTGTATTTTTTACTTTTAATATAGTACACAATGTGCTTGAAAAGAAATTACATATATTATTTTTAATTCATTGTTTCAAATGTTGAAGGTAGATATGTAAACTGTAATTTGAATTGAACATTTTAAGGTTACAATTTTCCACTGTGGGAGGTGTTCGGATTCCTATTCTATATATATATAAGATTTAATAAGGAAGGCATGATATAGATACTACTGAGTACTTAGTGTAGAAAGCAATATATGGCCAATAACCACAGTTTTCTAACATAAATTATTCATTTAATTTGTAGTTTTGAATGAAATTTAAATAAGACTTTGAATCAGACATCTTCTCCTGTTTATGTAATGATAAGGTAATTTATCTTAGGAGATCTGCAATTTGCAATGAAAAGCTTTTCTACAAAACCTTTGATATCTCGATGTAGCTTGCGTTCACAGTGCAGATAGTCTAAACCTTTTAAGACTTCTCTTAAGATGACTGCAATATGGAGTTCTTCAAACTGCCCAGCTTTCATGAGATCAAGGGCTGATCCTCCTCCTAGGTACTCCATGATGATCCACAACTTCGTACCCTGTTTACATAATAGCCAATTTATTAGTTGGATCACTTCTCATATACTGGCTTGCACTGTCTATATGTAATTGAGCTTACAACATGCATATTCTGTACAACAATTTGAAACAAAAGATATATAAGTATAGCAATAAAATATGCTTTTCAAGTAAATTAATATATTCATTACTTCATTATATAAAATTAGTTTCAACTTAAAAGTAAATTTTATAATTTTACAATAAGAAGAAATTAGAACTAATGTAAAGATTGTGCTCCAAACACGTACAAACTACACTAATTTTTTTTTACATTCTATCTTTTCCTGATTTAATATACAGTCCAAAAATTATATTTTTGATTCAACATAAACAAGGTCTACCGTCCTTTAATCTTGTTATACTTTTGTATTTAGAGGTAATTAATGCTGCATGCAGAGAAACAGGGAGAGATTGATTTACATCAAATACAAAAGAATAAATTCTTATGCAAGTTTTAGAAATAAAGCTGAACTAATGGATAAGCTACCAAGATCACAATTTCGTAACGTTTAGAAAATCTGCATGCAGAGTGTGAATAAACCAAGCTTGACCAAAAGAAGCAACCAGACAAAACATCTATTCCAATCAATACAGTGTGTTGGAGTTTAGCTGTGTTGATTGGAGACTATCTTGGAATCCTATAGGCCAAACAAATACTATCAAAATCTTGTTTGACCATGGTAGTTTTTACAACCTTTTTTTCTTATCTATTGAAAGAAAGGAAGTAAATGACTCATAACAGGCAAGAGATAGATCTTAAATGCTCTTTTTAAAGACCTCTGAATTAAAACTGACATTGGACTAATTAAGAGGAAAACGATAAAAATATCCATCACCTTGGTTATGTCTAGACTTTTTTGCTTCACCAGCCGAGGTATTTTATACCACAAGATAGAATTGATTACTACAAGTTCTTTGTACAGATTATAGACTGCTATAGGTCTAGCCTAGCATATCAATTCTAACACTGAATACAAGGCCTTCTGAACAATGATCTAGAATAGACAAAAGACGTATCTGCAAATGCAGATATACATGTCTGTTTTGAAATTAAAATCTAAAGTCAAAGAACAATTTTCACCACATCTGTTCTAAGGTTCATCTGTCTGTACACACCCACTTGCTAAATATTGTTTCACTACAGCATGTCAGTACAATTATTTTGTAGAAAATAAACAGAACAAATTTTGCTCCCAAAATCTTAATCAGGGTTTTCATGAACAAATATATTCTGTGGAATCAGCTTTGTTTGACATTATGATACAGGTTAATGTACTGCTAAAAAGAAATGCAACAAGTCTATTATTAAAATTAATTTAGTCATTTTGAAAATCGATAATACAAATAATTTTAATTAATATCTATAAGGATATCACACAGTAATAAATGTGTTGCACAAACAATATATATGTATATATATTGTACTCCACTTTTACCTTGAGAAATGATCCAAAATATTTTGTAACAAAGGGACTATCACACTGTGATAAAACCATAATTTCCTGTTGGATGTCTTCAATTTCATCTTCAGCCTCTTCAAGATCTATAATCTTTATGGCAACAATTTGTTGGCTTCTATTATCTATTCCTTTAAAGACTTCTCCAAAAGACCCCTTTCCTATCTTCTCTTGTTTTGTGAATATTAATTCCGGATCCACTTTCTGAAATTAAAGAAAAGGTATGTAACTGACACTACAGATTTTATAAATAAATTATCTGTTAATACATAACAAAAGACAGCAGTTAAAAACACAAATGTTGCAAAGAAAAGAAATATAACAAACAATATGTACAAAATGCTATTCTTCAGTTACATGTGTTTCATCTATTTTCAGATACTGACTACACTGTAGTTGGATTTACATTGTTGATGTATTTAACATAAGGAACTTTTTGCAGTAAACATTTAAACCAAACATTTGATGCTGTGGCTGGCATACCACACAACACAGTTCCAATGGAATATTGGAATTCATTCCCTACTTCCGTGGTCGACAACCTGTTACCCTCCTGCATCCTAAGTTATCTTTCATACATATAGCTAATTTTTTATTGGAGCATATAAAACTTATAAACTGATTATTTCATCTTCACCACTATACCATACTTATTACATAAATACCCTGTTTAAACATTTGTAAAATATCTGTACTTCAATTTATAAATAAGAGAGTTCAGATTAAGAAAGGCACTGATGTTTGAGCCTTCATTAATGAAACTTAGATCTAAGTATTATGTGAAATTATTTTGGTACAAGGTAGTTCACAGTATCTCTTCTAATTTAACAACTTTCTAAGTTTCATTATATGTACACGACTTTGAACATTCTAATGCCAAAATAAATTTTCTAAATTTTTTTGAAGCCTTGAACATTCTTGTTTCTGAATGAGCAATTCTTCATATGAAATTCAACTCTAACATATTCGTAAGTTGTGGGTTATAAATAAATTTAATCCCAACATAATGGTGAATTGTAATTTTAAAAGAAGTGTAGATGAAGCAGTCTAAACAAACAAGTATTAAAAAAAAAGGAGAGAAATTTCTTTGATACTTATCACTGTAAATGACTATATTATAGATTAAATTTGTCTTGAAAAACAAATACTATAGTATTTGCTTACATGAAGATTTAAATATTAGAATTTGTGTCATTCATTCACACAAATTACTATGTAATTTTTTTAGTCTACAATAATTTAGTAGAAACAGTTAAAATTAGATTTCTCAACACAGTGCTATCCAATGGAAACTCATCCATCCAAAATTACATGAAAATTGTTTTATCTCTAATAAAAAAATATATATGAAGAGCAAAATTATCATAAAACTTCTAGTCAAAACAGTCATGCAGGGATTTCTTCTTATTATAACTACATTTAACTTATGGAAGATTTTCATCCTCAAAACAAATTTCAATTCCAAAGAAAATTATCACAAGTAATTCAGTCTTCTGAAGTTATTTTCTAATGCGTACCTTAGTGTTCCATTGAACAGGTCTGACTAGAAGCATACCTGTGTCTGACTACAAATGGCCTACTTTCTTCTCTACAATAGTATCCTCACATACATGTAATACTCAACTATTGAAGTTCTAACACCTTGTATACAAGTACATATAATGCTCTACTGTTGAAGATCTAGCACACTGTGTACAAGTGCATGCAATGCTCTACTACTGAAGCTCTAACACAATGTATACAAGTGGATGGCAGCTCATTATGATAACAACACAGTTAACCTGTGCTACTTGATTAAAGTTCACCAGCAACAAAGACTTCCAAATATAGATATTGATAATCAATTATGGGGCTCATGAGTATATGCCATTCCAAGGCAATGTATTTAAATATTTAAGATTATTTATTTAATAAAAAGTTTGCTGTCTAGTTGTGGCTCTAAACATAGTCCAGTTCTGATGAACTAAACATAAATAAATGGCACAAATGAAATTCCAAACTTATTTCTGAAATCAACAGTAAAGTAAAACATAGTTTTGATTTGTGGAACATTATATATCTACACACACACACACATATTAAACATCAAAGTTATACTAATGATTAAGTTGATTAAACCAGGGGTACCCAATCTGAGGGACAAAGTAAATACAAAACTTATTTAACAAAAGAAAAAGCATATGAAATATTGAAAAGCTAAGCAGAAAAAAAAGTTACATCAACAAATCTTCCAATATCATTACTTAAACATATTGCTTGCAATGGAAGTATGGCACTCAGTGTCTACAGATTTATTGGGTGTGGGCATCAATCAAGATGTGAAATGTTCTGGAGGGGGAGGTCTTGTGCTGAGAATGTTGGGGAACCCATGAATTAAACTATCAATGTATAACAACTCCCTGAAAAGTTAACTGTAATTCCTCCATAACAAACAGCTTATGATAATAAAAATATATACCGTACTTCTATGTAAATAACTGAAAAACTACATTCAAGTTCATGAGTGACCTATGATACAGGTAAGAGCATATGCATAGTGAAAAGTTGATATGATTCAATGTGTCACAATTTTAGTAGTATTAAAGGTTTGCCAACATTGATGTTTTCATGGGTTGCATCATATTCTTTAATGTCAAACTACTAAACAAGATTTTAAATATCTTACTCAATTATACAAGCTAAGTCATGGAACTTTTCAAAACATTTTAATGAATAATTAATAATATAACATAAGCATAAGTCATTCTTGCTATTCCTGTTATCGCCCACTACCAGTCAATGGAAAAGATGAGAATCCAAGGGTAAAATAATGAATATAAAAGTAAGGACCATTTTCCAGACGCTCTGATTAATTAGATTGAATGAATATAATCAACACGTTGCACTAAATCAGCAGTGATTGAAACTATTATATATAATGCACATTTAGGCATAAGATCATTCTTGTTTAATTTCAAATGATAATTTATATATATATATCCAAAAGTATACATGCTGCTACTAGTCATTTTCATATATGCTATAAGAACATTTAGATGTCAAAAAATGATGTACTGATTGCTAAAAAAAACCTGAAGGTTAACCATTATTTTACAAGATTTTTTTTGCAACTGCTTAGTATATCTGAGCTGATTTTATGACAAACTTATTAAATGAAGAACATTAACTTCAAAGTAAATGCTTGCAAAAACTAATGCAATAACTGAACTTTTGTGTGATCTCAACACCAACACAGATATGAAATCAAATCATGCTGGGTCTATATTAGGTATCACAATAAACAAAAACCAATTTACTTTTACAAGTTAGGAGACGTTTGTCACTCAATGACCATTCTAATCAACTCAAAAAACTTAAATCAGTTAACTGATGCAAATAAAATGATCTATATGCAACTTCTTTTCCTTATTACAGATACAAAAAATAACACATAGAATTATGATGCTAAAGGACATTTTATAATGCAAAATGTACTTAATCAAAGGTACTGTCACTGATAGAAACATGGTTTAAAGATAATACCAGTGTTTATAACACATGTAAATAGATATACACACATCACGTTATACATCATAAGTCTAAAATACAGTCTGCAAATTAAGTTAAATTCTACAGTTATCAATACACATTAAATGTTATTCCACAAATTTGTAGAATTACTTTAAAATACACAAAAGTTTATTTAAAGTGATGTTTTGGATGTATATGTTTTACTTGAAAAGGCTGCTTTTCTACTGATCAAATTTTATAAGCACTTAATGGGAATGGTGTCTTAGTGTATGCATATATTTGACCATTGCTATGCATTATATATAGAGAATTTAGTTACACAGAAACTATAAATGTTCACTATATTCTCAAACAAATCTCCATGACAATCTCCAGCTGCAACTTAACATTTTATATCTCAAACTAATGTGATCAAATAATCAGGCTACAGTAAATCATCATGAACCATTTCAGCTAGCTATGATTATTATCAATCCAATGTATAATGTTAGCTACTATATCAAGTAATCCTTTGCTCATAGTTAAGCATAGAAAGTCAGCAAACAAGATGAATAAAAAATTGGGAATTTAAAAACCTGCAGGGATCGTAAAAAAGATAGCAAACAAGGCTGGAGATACTGGATATTATTTACTCAAACTACAAATCCCTGTTTTGATTCCATCAAATGTAATTCTAAGGAACAACATGGAGCCAAAATAGG